AAACCATAGAGCAAGGACTATCCTCACAGGACTCCAAGGAAGGTAACACAATACCTCCGAAAGCATTCATCTGCAGTTCTGGTCCTCGCAAGTCTTCCTGAAAAAGCATAACCCCCAGGAATAAATACTATTTTCCCCCTTTCACAATGGTGATGCCAGTGCTCTGGGAAGACTCCCCTATCGAGGTTGTATCTGCACATAAACAGTGATAAGTAGCTCTGGCAGACATTGAGTGGTGCAGTTGGACATCTGCCACTGAGATTTCAAATTTACCACTGGCATCTCTGTCAACAAGGCTAAAACTTGAGCATCTATTCATGTGAATGACCGTGACAGAAGAAGGGAGGGACCCTACAAGGTTAGCATAACAATTTACCTCTGCTCACAAAACAGTACATTTAAGTTTCTCTCAAAACAGGTCATGTAATAGATTTACATCTGTTCTGAAGAAATGCATTGGTTAGGCAAGGTAAAACTAGCTTCCTGGAGACTTTGAAGTAGGCAGAAAGTCCCCTTTAATATTAAGCATTCTTGTAAATGATTAACATACTCTGATGTTTGTCAAAAGTAGTGGGGGAACTCTTATGGAGCATTACCAACACACATTTCTTCATTTTTACTTATAAATCTCTAATTTATTGTATTTTATACTAACCCACTAAAAGGTAATTATAGTCCGAATCTTATTCTGGCTTGAGAAAAATTTTCTGAAACAAACTCCATATTAGAATATCTTTCTAAGATGATGCCTTCTAGTACAAATTGGAATGTAGTTCTAATTTCCCTTTATCCTCTTGGCTGTAAAAAAAATATGTAGTCATTTGTAAAGAATTCTCACTAACTCTTAATAACCCTCCCACAAAGTACATCTGGGAGGCAGCTCTTTCCCCTTACCCTCAATGGAGTTTTCAAAAGTGACTGACTCCTTTTATCTTTAGAAAATGTACAGACTCTTACATCAATCAGTGAATAGCTACTTGAAGGAAAAAGTGTTCCTGGAACTTCTTATTTTGGAAAGGTCTAGTCACGTTCTATTGCTTTCCTGCCTTGGTCTTGCTATTTCCAGTGTCTTAACCTTTAGCCACATGTTTCCTTTGTATATTGGGTTGCAGTCACAAAACAGGTAAAGACCTGTGATAGGAAATTACCAAGAGGAGAATCAAGATGGTCATGTCCAAGTGACACTATTCAGTAGTATGACCCTGTCTGAATCACTTCTCTGCCACTGTTTCCCACTTTACAAAGCCAGGATGCTGAACTACTGATACCCATTCTGTAATCCAGGTGGCCCGCGGGGTAAGTCAGCTTTTGGTCTCTGTAACAAATGAGGAAAATAAGTTAAATGATAAAAAGTATATTTTGGTTTATGTTTTAGTCCATAATTGGTGACCTCCATCATCAAGCCTGTGCGGCAGAATGCTATGGCAGGAAGGGTGTAGTAATGCACAGCTACTCACCTTATGGTAGATAGGAAGGAAGAGAGGGAAGGAGAAAGGAGGGGGAGAAAGAGAGAGAACAAGTTATACTCTTTGAAGGCACACACCCAGTGGCCTGCTTCTTGCAACCACATTTACTTTATCCATTCATTGCTGATGGACACCTGGGATGGTTCCATATTGTGAGTAGTAGTGTAATAAACAAATGTGGGCAAGTATCTCTGTGTATGCCGATTGAGATTTCTTTGGGTATGTATGTAAGTGCACCCATGTCGTGCAATGCCTGAGGAGGCCAGAAGAGGGCATGATATCCTCTGGAACTGGAGTTGCAGACAATTGTTAGTGCCAGGTGGGTGCTGGAAACTGAACTTGGTCATCTGCAAGAGCAGCCAGTGCTCTTAACTGCTGTCCCAACTCTCTGGCCCCATCTCCGATGTTTTAACATTGACATTTATAGCTATGAAGTTCCCATTTAAAACTATTTTTATGAATATCACAGGTTCTAGTGTGTCATGTTGTCGTTTTCATTCAATTCTAGAAAATATTTAAATTTCTCTCATTTTCTTCAATGATGTACTCATTATTGAATATTGTGTGGTTCAAGTTCCATAAGCTTGTATTTGTTTAATTTTTTCTTGTTTTGACAGGATCTTCCTAGGCCCAGCCTGCTTGGAACTTACTATGTAGACCAGGCTGGCCTCAGTGTCACAGAGATCTGCCTGCCTCTGCCTCCTGAGTGCTGGGATTAAAGGTATGTGCCACCATGCCTGGCATCTGTATATTTTCTATAGTTTCTCTTGTTGTTCGTGTTTAGTTTTATTCCACTGTGAGAAGATAGACTACATAAAGTTATTTCAGTTTTCTTGTATTCATTTGCTTTGTGGGACTGTAGAGATGACTCAGTGGTTAAAAGTGCTTGCTGTTCTTGCAGAGGTCTTGGGTTTGGTTTTCAGCATGTACATGGCAACTAACAACTATCAGCAACTCCACTTCCAAGGGGTTTGATGCTCTCTTCTGGCCTCTGTGGGCAGCAGACACACACATAGTGCACATATGCCCATGCAGGCAAAACACTCATTTTATTGACTTGTCTGTTGGTGAGAGTGAGGTTCTATACTGTTGCTGTGTTGATGTCACTGTTCCTTCGTGTCTAGTAGCGTTTGTTATATGAAACTTAATGTGACAATGCTTGGTATGTATATGTTTAGAACAAGGTTCTGTACTGTTGCTGTGTTGATGTCACTGTTCCTTCGTGTCTAGTAGCATTTGTTATATGAAACTTAATGTGACAATGCTTGGTATGTATATGTTTAGAACTATTATATCTTCTTGATGGATTCTTCTGAACAGTCCTGCTTTGAAGT